CGCAGCCACAGCCGCAGGGGACTGTGGGTGGGCAGCTTTGCCTGGGCTGCAGCCACAGGCGCCTGGGACCACTTGTCCCTCTCCCAGGCTGCAGGCACAGCCAATGGTGCCCGGGATAGCAGGGCAGGAGGCTTGTCCCTCTCCTGGGCTGCAGGTGCAACACAGCCACTGGCACCTGGGACCGCGGGGCGGGTGGCATGTCCCTCTCCTGGGCCACAGGCGTAGCTGCTGGCGCCCAGGACTGCGGGGACCACGGGGCATGCGGCTTATCCCTCTCCCAGGGTGCACGCGCAGGCGCAGCCACTGGCATCTGGGACTGCAGGGCGGGTGGCTTATTCCTCTCCTGGGCTGCAGCCTGGCTGGTCCCCATTCCTCTCTCGCGAGCTCATTTGTGCCTGGCTGGTCCCCATTCCTCTCTTCCCAGTGTTGAGTGTCTAAGCCGTTACAGTGTGACGGCATGAGGGTGTGATGACCATTTGCATATTAGCTCTTTATTATATAGGATTTTTTCCTTTTTTTTTTTTTTTTTAGAGAGAGAGTAGAATGGAGAGGGGGGAGAGAGAGAGAGAGAGAAACATAGATGTGAGAGAGACACATTGATTGCTTGCCTCCTGATTGCACCCCCACTGGGCCCGGGATCAAATCTGCAACCGAGATAGATGCCCTTGACCAGAAATCAAACCCATAGACTGATACTCTAACCAATGAGCCAAACTAGCCAGGGCTGATGGATTTTTTTTACCTTGTCAAGTGATGAAAAATGAGATTCAATGTGTATACTGTTGGTTACAATTAATATAACAACTTGAAAAAATCATGAGACAGAAGCATAAATATAATATAAAAAGACAAGATTTTAAAATTGTATTATAGGAATATTAACTATAAGTGGTAAAGAACCCTGGCCGGTTGCTCAGTGGTTAGAGCATCAGCCCTCAGTCTGAAGAGTCATGAATATTCCTTGTCAAGGGTTCAACCTAGGTTGCAGGCTCGATCCTGGGCTCTGGACAGTTTGGCTCAGTGGATAGAGCATCAGCCTGTGGACTCAAGGGTCCCAGGTTCGATTCCAGTCAACAGCACATGCCCGGCTTGCGGGCTCAGTCCCCAGTAGGGAGCATGCAGGAGGCAGCTGACCAATGATTCCCTCTCATCCTTGATGGTTCTATCTCTCCCTTCGTTTCCCTTCCTCTCTGAAATCAATAAAAATACATTTTAAAAATATCCTGCCCTAACCGGTTTGGCTCAGTGGATAGAGCATCAGCCTGCAGACTCAAGGGTCCCAGGTTCGATTCCGGTCAAGTGCATGTACCTTGGTTGCGGGCTCAGTCCCCAGTAGGGAGCATGCAGGAGGCAGCTGACCAATGATTCCCTCTCATCCTTGAAATCAATAAATAAAATTATCCTATATAATAAAACCCTAATATGCAAATTGACCAAACGGTGGAATGACCGGTCACTATGACGCGCACTGACCACCAGGGGGCAGACACTCAACGCAGGAGCTGCTCCCTGGTGGTCAGTGTGCTCCCACAGAGGGAGTGCCGCTCGTGGCTGTTGAGTGCAGCAGCGGTAAGGAGCCTGGGGGTCCTGGACTGCGAGAGTGCAAGCCAGGCTGAGAGACCCCCCTCCCCCAGTGCACAAAATTTCATGCACCGGGCCTATAGTGTATATATATATATATATGTAAATGGAGTCCTAGCCAATTTGGCTCAGGGGTTAGAGCATCAGCCCTCAGACTGAAGGGTCATGGGTTTGATTCTGGTCAAGGTCATGTACCTCGGTTGCAGGCTTGATCCCTAGCCCTAGTCGGGCTGCATGCTGAAGGCAACCAATCAATGTGTCTCTCTCACATGGATGTCTCTTTCTCTCTGACTCTCCCCCTCCCTTCCACTCTCTCTAAAAAATCAATGGAGCCCTAGCTGATTTGGCTCAGTGGATAGAGCGTCGGCCTGAGGACTGAAGGGTCCCAGGTTTGATTCCAGTCAAGGACACATACCTCATTTGCAGGCTCAATCCCTGGCCTGGTTGGCATGAGTGAGGGAGGCAACCAATCAATGTCTCTCTCTCACATGTATGTTTCTCTGTGTCTCTCCCTCTCCCTTCCACTCTCTCTAAAAATCAATGGGAAAATATCCTTGGGTAAATATTAACAACAAAAATCAATGGGAAAAAAATATCCTCAGGTGAGGACTAAAAAAAATAAGTGAAAAAGATACATTAAAACTAGCAGTGTGTTACACTAGTTCAAAACAGAACTCATAAGGCAGAAGAAAATGGATTCAAGTTAAATAAAATGGTCTGTTTTTAGGAACAGCATCCAGACAGACCCACCACAAAGAAATGCCGACAGTAACTATGTGGTCCCCTCTGGTTACTCAGTGAAGTGTCGAAGGAGGGGCTGGTTAGCACCTTAAGCTTTCTCCACCAGCACAGTCCAGGCCTCGGGAGCCATGAAACCTTCAGGAGATTTCTGGCCATCTCGAGCAAGGTTACACATTCACGTTCCTGAAATAAATTCAAAGTCTTCATGGTGTTCAGAGTCATGTTAGTCCATATACTTCTGTTTTTTGTTGTAAGCTGCAACTCAAAAGGGAACTATTTTGCCCTAGCCAATTTGGCTCAGTGGATAGAGCAGGGGTCCTCAAACTACGGCCCGTGGGCCACATGCAAATACAAATATTGTATTTGTTCCCGTTTTGTTTTTTTACTTCAAAATAAGATATGTGCAGTGTGCATAGGCATTTGTTCATAGTTTTTTTTTAAACTATAGTCCGGCCCTCCAACGGTCTGAGGGACAGTGAACTGGCCCCCTGTTTAAAAAGTTTGAGGACCCCTCCTCTAAAAGGACAGTGATGTCAGTGACGCACAAGCCTACAACTGTGAGGTAAATTCAAGAAGAGAAGTCAGTACCGGCCGGTGTGGCTCAGTGGTTGAGCATTGACCTATGAACGAGGAGGTGAGGGTTCGATTCCTTTTCTATCTTCCCCCTCTCCCTTCTTCTCTGAAATCAATAAAAATATACTTTTTTTTAAAAAAGGGGGGGGGGGAATTATTTCCAAAGTAATTAGGCCAGGGGACACTGTCAACACTTAGGCGCTGTGAGTTGGCTAGTGCAGGTCCTTCCCTATTTCTGGATGAAGCATGCCAGCGGGGTTTCCTCCAGCAATAAAGAAATTCCTACTCGACCCACACACTACAGGCCAACCTGAGGCAGACCAGTAACAGGAGTAGCATCTCACTCTTAGTTGTGACAACTAAAAATGTTTTCAGACACTGCCAAACATCTCCTGAAAGGCAGTGTCCTCGGCTGAGACCTAGATATATTCTTCTAATCAGGATTAAATAGTATGCATAAGCTTAACTCACCAATACCTCTATTTTATAAGAAGGAATATTAAGATACTTCATAAAAAATTAAATCCGTTTTATGATACATAACAGTCAACAATCTCAAATGCAATTGGTGTCTGAGCCATTTCATATATATATATTTTTTTTTCTAATCCTCACTCAAGGATATTTTTGCAGTGGTTTTTAGAGAGAGTGGAAGAGAGAGAGAAAGACAGAGAAAAATATAGATGTGAAAGAAACACATCAATTGGTTGCCTCCTGCAAACACCCTGACCAGGGCCCGGAGCTGGGGAGAAGCCTGCAACCGAGGTACATGCTCTTAACCAGAATTGACCGGAATAGAACCCGGGGCCCTTTAGTCCACAGGCTGACGCTCTATCCACTGAGCCAAACCGGCTAGGTCTTTCCCATCTTTAATCAATAAATATTATTCCCCTTAGGAGGAGAAAAAATTACCCATATTAAAAGTACTGAAAATAAACATCTCTATACTAATAAAAGGGTAATATGCTAATTAGACCGGGTCGACCAGACATCTTCCAATCATCCTGCCTTCCTTCCAGACAAAGCCACAGTGGCAGGGGCCAAGGCAGAGGCAGTTAGGGGCGATCAGGCCAGCAGGGGAGGGCAGTTAGAGGTGATCAGGCAGGCAGGCAGGCAGAGGGGTTAGGGGCGATCAGGCAGGCGAGCAGTTGGGAGCCAGCGGTCCCGGATTGCGAGAGGGATGTCCGACTGGCAGATCGGGCCTTTGGGTGGAGAGGGTGCAGGCCAGGCTGAAGAACAACCCTTCCCCCTGCCCCCATGCACGAATTTTGTGCACCAGGCCTCTGGTCATCAATAAACACCATTAAATGATGACTAATTCTACATCTCACTAACCTCTGTTTCATTAACTAGAACTCCAGAGTAAAAATAGTTATAGCTTTTGACATGGCATCATATTTCTCTAAAATATTAACTAAGACAGATTTCTAATTTGGTAAACCTAATAAATAATTTAATGCCATTTGGTTTTCAACAGAATTGTATCTTTATCATCAAGCTAAAGGCATAACAAAAAAATAACAATGCCCTAGCTGGTTTGGCTCAGTGGATAGAGCGTCGGCCTACAGACTGAAGTGTCCTGGGTTCAATTCCATTCAAGGGCTTGATCCCCAGTGTGCGGTGGGCAGGAGGCTGGCAATCAATGATTCTCTCTCATCATTGGTGTTTCTCTCTCTCTCTTCCTCTCCCTTCCTCTCTGAAATCAATAAAAATATATTTTTTAAAAATAATAATAACATTTTCACTAAAAGGTTGTCTAAGTCTATTGTTCATCATGTAATCAGACACCCTTAAATTCTAGTAGACTGTCTAAGGAATTCATGGATCAATCTCCTAAGCACATCAAAGAAAGTGCTAATACACTGGACATTTAAAAAACAATGGCAGTAGAACATTTTATTTAAACTTTTGATAATAAAACAATACAGAAGTGGAAACCCTTGTGAAATTTTTTTTTCTCATTTTAGTAAAAAGATCACTAATACTTTATACTTGCGTGACACTGTAAGGTTTAGACAAAATAAGCAAGAGAGCTCCATAATACACTTGAAATATAAAACACTGTACTAAAACTTTTATAGGCACAAAGTTCCTTCAAGTTCCAAGCAAGTCTATTTATCCCTCATTATTTATTAGGACAACTTCAAGTAGGCCAGCTTTAAACAATGCACTACAAATGGCTCTTACTTATTACATAGGTCTTAGGATAAACATGTTTATACTTTGACTGAACAGTCACATGGATACTATAAACATGGCGACTGTATATCACTAATCGGTGAAATTTCTTGCCTTCCTTCATGATTTCTTCAGTCTTTTTTTCAGTGGACAAAAGATTTTCTAAGAAGTTTGAATCTTCTAAGTACAGCTCATCTCCTGAAAAATATTTTAATTCACAGTGTTATTTTATAAACATTCCAATATATTAGTGACATATAAATCAGTTTTTTAATCTATTTCATGTGCTTAGAACTAAGATAGTTGTTAAATAACCCCAATTTTATCAGCGTATCTCAATTCCTTAGTCAATATTAATATTGGCTTTGTCCATACATATTTTTGTCTCTCAATGTGAATGCTCTAATAATTTTAAGATTAGAGAAATTATCATTTATACATCAACATTGCTAAATTCTCCCACTATAGGATGAGTAACAAATATTATCACTATTGTGAGAACTGAGACAGGTAGCCATAAATAAGGCAAGTCACAAAGCTCCATGCTAAACTGTCACAAAACCTCCATCTTATACATACCCAACAACTGACCACCAACAAACTCCCCAATTCAAATAAGATGACAATTTACAAGTTCTCATAATTCAAAATTAAAATATAAAAAAGTGAAATAATATGAAAGAACTTTGTCAATGTCTAGGAAATACCTATAATAAAAAAAAAGCATAATATGCTAATTAGACCAGATGTCCTTCCAGACGACCTTCCGGATGAAGCCGGGCCTGTGAGGGGACCCCGGGTCCCGGGTGCCTACTGGCAGCCAGAGAGAAGCCCAGGTCCCGGATGCCAGAGGGAAGCCGGTGCCGGCAACCGGGGAAAGGAAGGCCTACTCTTGCACAAATTTCGAGCATAGGGCTTCTAGTAGTTACATAAAAGTGTATGTGTATATATAAAGTAACTTATTTCGAACTTCGGATTATAATAAATACTATGGATATTTTATAGACTTTGATCTTATTTTATTAATACTTCTGTAGTGTACAAAACAGACTGTAAATCGTGTCTTCTCTGTTGGGCAATACAACCACATAGCCCAGTGAATTAAATATGAATACTAACAAAAGCATTGAAGCTTCACTGATTTTACCTGGTAAAAGTGAGATCTGCCCATCAGCAGTTAATAATAAGATCGGCATCCATCTTTCCACCCCTTCTAATACATGATCCAAACAAAACTTGTGCAAGTCAGAGAGAGAGGCAAAGTTTTCGAGTCTTCTTATTTCATAGAACTGTGGGGGTGCCATCCAAATTTCTTTTGATATGAAACTTTCAGTTGCCTCTAATGGAGATGACCACTGTGGAAGACAAAGGTATGATTTCCTAAGGTTCACTCCATAAACAATACAAGATTTGAGATTGTTAGATCAGTACCTAATGTCTAGTTGGAGATATAAAGTTAATTCGTTAATGTGCCTTGCTAGATTACTCTGAGACAACATGAAAAGGTTTGATGAAGAAAGCTGTGTTGATCCCCTTAAGATGTTGATTGTTGGAATACTGACCCTGAGAACTAGTAAATAAACCAGGATAGATCACCAAGGGTTGAGAGTCATTCAGCATAAAGGGCAGGTGATACTGAGAAGGCAAAGCAGTTCCAGTCATAGAAGACTGTGAAGTGTAAACCCATGGCAGCAGATTGAGAGTTTAGTACCCATTTGTTTCTCCCGTAAATAGGTGCTTTGGCTAGGCCCTGAGGATGTGGTAGTGACAAGACAAAGCTCTCTCAGGCCCTGTGGGGTCTCCAGAAACCAAAATGGAACATGATATGTACCACATGTCATAATGGGGGTAAGAGGTAAGGAGCAGTAGGAGCTTTAAGGAAGGTCAAGGGGGTAACTCAGTCTACAGTCCCAGGAATGTAATAATAGCAGGTCATCAACCAGCCAGTTTGCCCATTTAACTTACGTGGTCTCAGTGCTGTGATTTACCCTCCTTCCCAAGCCTTCCTTCCATACACATTTGGATAAAAAGAGCTGCTGATTCAATGAATATGGAATAAACCCAAAAGGTCTTTAACTGGTTTACAAAATATCCACTTACACTGGATATCCAAAATATCCACTTAAACTGGGGAAAACTGATTCCCACGCCCAAACCCAGGGAGTCAAAATTGATTTCTGCCTTGGATAACCATAGGCCAAAGGTTCACAAGCTTGTACGTGCTTAAACATCCCCTAAGAAACTTGTTAAAACTTCAGTCTGTAGGGCCCAGAAATCTTTGTTTAGCAAGCACCCCAGATTATTCTGAAGTTGGCTACATTTTGTAAACCAAGTTTGGACCTCAAAGGACCACCCAATCTTTAAGTTATTTACAAAGCATTCTGCTTTGTCAGTTCTATGTGAGTTCAGTGACAATAATCAAGATGAAGGGTTAACCAATAAGCATCAACCCACTTAATTCAACCTGTTCAGGTTAGTTCAAACCATAGGTTAAAAGAACTTACCATTTATTGGTTACTTGCTACTAGTAAAGCACTGCTCAAAACCTGTGTTTCCACTAGGTTTTGAAACCTCAGCACTATTGACACTTTATTATTTTTTAAAAATATATTTTATTGATTTTTTACAGAGAGGAAGAGAGAGGGATAGAGAGTTTGAAACATCGATGAGAGAGAAACATCGATCAGCTGCCTCCTGCACACCCCATACTGGGGATGTGCCCGCACCCAAGGTATATGCCCTTGCCCGGAATCGAACCTGGGACCCTTCAGTCCGCAGGCCGATGCTCTATCCACTGAGCCAAACCAGTTAGGGCACTATTGACACTTTAGACCAGATAATTCTTTGTTGTGGGAAGCTGTCCTGTGCACTAAAGGATGTTGAATAGCATACCTAGGCTCTACCCAGTAGAAGCCAGCAGAAGTCCCTGAGTTGTGACAACCCAAAATGTTTCCAGACATTGACAAATGTACCTGGGTGTGGGGAGGGCAAATCCCCTATTGAGAACCACTAGACTAGACCAGGTTAAGAATTATTTATTGGAACCTCCTCTTCCAGCCACAAGTGCTATATTACCTTCCCCCAACATAATGTAAAAAATAGGTTAGTGGAAAAAATCTATAAAATCACGGTTTTGAACACTGAAGAATGCAGAATTGTAAGTGAGGAAAGAAAAACAAATTAGGTGAACTCAGTAAAGTTCCAAGAGTGCCCAAGGCTTCCTTCCTAAAGGTACTCCCCAGACTACAGCACAAGGAGGGAGAGGCTAATCAGAGTGTAGGATTCTCACTGACCTGAAGAGACAAAGACCAGAGTTTGGGAAGACAAATACAGGGGAGAATCTGGAAGGCAATGTACTTGAGAGGAGGGATTTACAATGCAGACCTCCAGAAATATGTACAGGGAGCTCTTGAGTCTTCACTAAACAGTAATCTACATATGCATAAAGTGAAACCACATGACACTGGAAAACTATTCCTAAGAAAAGGACAATTACCTGAGAGCTTTAAGACTAACAATTCCAGGGCTCACCTTGGGCCAGAAGTATTTCAAATTCCCTCCAACCCCTGTGGAGAGATCTCACTGAATATACGGGTATTCAGCAGACCCCAAAAGGGGACACATCACAAGTGCAGCTATTAGCCCTAGATCAGACTACCACAGACCTACCCTAAGACCACTTAAATTAACAAACTTCAAAAGAATCAAGTTAATTTGCAAGAGCTTAACTTCCTGCCAAAAAAAAACCTGAACAATCCTTAAAGGAATATGACAGAATCCAGTACTCAAAATCACTATATCCAAGATCCAATCAAAAATTGCAAGACCCACCCATAACTAGAGGAAAAATCTGTCAACAGAAATAGACCCCAAATATTACAGAGATAATGAAATTAGCAGAAAAGGACCTTAAAACCATTGTACAAATATGAGATGGAAAGGGAAATATGAACATGAGAGAGAAATAGAAAATATTTTAAAGAAACTATATAGAACTTCTGGAGATGAAAAATATCTGAAATGAAAAACACACTGGATGGTATTTACAGAATAGGCACTACATAAGAAAACAGAGAGAGAACTTAAAAACAGCAATAGAATCTCTTCAAAATAAAGCAAGAAGAGGAAAAAAAGGCTGAAAAACATGAACAAGTTCTGAGTGACCTATGAGACATTATCAAGTAGTCCAACATACATGTAACTAGAGTTCCAGAAAATAGCAGAAGGTAAAAAATATTTGAAGAAATATAAATAACAGAACAAGAAAACCATGTACATCATAATCAAATTGATGAACACCAATGATTAAGAGAAAATATTTAAAGTAGACACACACACACACACACACACAACTATGTAAAGAGGAACAGAGATAAGAGTTAAAAACAGACTTCTCATCAGAAAATTATGCTAACCAGAAAATACAATGCAACATCTTTAAGCACTGACAGAAAACAAAACAAAACCTGTTAACCTAGAATTCTTCACATAGCCAAAATAGCTTTCAAAAAAAACAAAGGCAGCCGTAACCAGTTTGGCTCAGTGGATAGAGCGTTGGCCTGCAGACTGAAAGGTCCCAGGTTCGATTCCGGTCAAGGGCATGTACCTTGGTTGCGGGCACATCTCCAGTAGGAGGTGTGCAGGAGGCAGCTGATCGATGTTTCTCTCTCATCGATGTTTCTGACTATCTCTCTCCCTTCCTCTCTGTAAAAAATCAATAAAATATATTTTTAAAAATACGTAAATAAATAAATAAATAAAGTATGTTTCAGATAAAATTTAGAGGATTGTCAGAAGATCTGGAATACAAGACATATTAGAGGAAGTTCTTTAGGCAGAAGGACACCAAATGGATATCCAACTCTACACAAAGGATAATATTGACTATAAACTGTAATTGGAAAATTTAAAACTTCATTGCTTGTCTCCTAAAAAAAAATTCTACACAAAGGAATAAAGGGTGCTAAGAATGGTATATATGCAGATAAAAATAGAATACTTTTCCTCATTTTTACAGTTTAAAGCAAAAATAATCAGTGTATTATAGAGTTGGTTTTTAACCTTTATTGTTGAAAGTGTTACAGAGGTCCTCCTTTTTCCCCCATTCCTGTCCGCTCCTGTCCTCCCCTCCACCCCAAACCCTCACTACCCCATTGTCTGTGTCATCCAGTTATACACATGTGCATACAAGTTCATTGGTTGATCTCTTCCCATATAGAGTTTATGCTATTGCAAACCCTAGAGCAGTGGTCGGCAAACTGCGGCTTGCGAGCCACATTCGGCTCTTTGGCCCCTTGAGTGTAGCTCTTCCTAAGCCTTAGGAGTACCCTAACTAAGTTAATAACAATGTACCTACCTATATAGTTTAAGTTTAAAAAATTTGGCTCTCAAAGGAAATTTCAATCATTGTACTGCTGATATTTGGCTCTGTTGACTAATGAGTTTGCCGACCACTGCCCTAGAGAAACCACAAAGAGATACAGTTAACTAGAGGCCCGGTGCACAAAAATTTGTGCACTCGGGGGTGGGGGGTCTCTCAGCCCGGCCTGTGTCCTCTCACAGTCTGGGACCCTTCGGGGGATGACCACCTGCTGGCTTAGGCCTGCTCCCCGGGGGATTGGGCCTAAGATGGCAATCAGACATCCCTCTGGCAGCCTGGCAGCCCTCGGGGGATGTCCACTTGCCAGCGGGGAGCAGGCCTAAGCTGCAGTCGGACATCCTTAGCGCTGCTGAGGAGGCAGGAGAGGCTCCCACCACTACCGCTGTACTGGCAGCCATCAGCCTGGCTTGTGGCTGAGCAGAGCTCCCCCATGTGGGAGCGCACTGACCACCAGAGAGCAGCTCCTGCATTGAGCGTCTGCCCCCTGGTGGTCAGTGTGTGTCATAGTGACCAGTCATTCCCAGTCTTTCTGCTGTTAGGGTCAGTTTGCATATTACCCTTTTACTATATAGGATAGAGGCCTGGTGCACGGGTGGGGGCCGGCTGGTTTGCCCTGAAGGGTGTCCTGGATCAGGGTGGGGGTCCCCACTGGGGTGCCTGGCCAGCCTGGATGAGGGGATGATGGCTGTTTGCAGCTGGTCACACACCCTTCAGGGTGGGGGTCCCCACTGGGGTGCCTGGCCAGCCTGGATGAGGGGATGATGGCTGTTTGCAGCTGCTCACACACCCTTCAGGGTGGGGGTCCCCACTGGGGTGCCTGGCCAGCCTGGATGAGGGGATGATGGCTGTTTGCAGCTGCTCACACACCCTTCAGGGTGGGGGTCCCCACTGGGGTGCCTGGCCAGCCTGGATGAGGGGATGATGGCTGTTTGCAGCTGCTCACACACCCTTCAGGGTGGGGGTCCCCACTGGGGTGCCTGGCCAGCCTGGATGAGGGGATGATGGCTGTTTGCAGCTGCTCACACACCCTTCAGGGTGGGGGTCCCCACTGGGGTGCCTGGCCAGCCTGGATGAGGGGATGATGGCTGTTTGTTTTATTAGATAGGATAAGTCAATAATGAAGATAAAACAATCCTAAAAAATGCTCAAATAATCCCAAAGAAGCCAGGAAAAAAAAAAACAGTGCAAGGACTAGATGGGACCGAAAAAAACTAACAGAAAGACAGTAGAATTGAATCTAACCTTGTTGTTAATGACATTAAAAAGAAATGATCTAAATACTCCAATTAAAAGAAACTAAAGCCCTAACTGGTTTGGCTCAGTGGATAGAAGGTCGGCCTGCGGACTGAGGGGTCCCAGGTTCGATTCCGGTCAAGGGCATATGCCTTGGTTGCGGGCACATCCCCAGTGGGGAGCGCGTAGGAGGCAGCTGAATTGATGTTTCTCTCTCATCAATGTTTCTAACTCTCTATCCCTCTCCCTTTCTCTCTGTAAATAATCAATAAAATATATTTTAAAAAAAAGAAAAGAAAAGAAACTAAAAGACAAAAATTGTCATGTTGGCCAATATGATTCAGTTGCGTGTCATCCCATGCACCAAGAGATCACTGGTTCGATTCCCAGGTAGGGCACATGCCCAGGATGTGGGCTCAATCCCAGTCACAGGTTCGATTCCCAGTGAGGGCACTTATATAGGTTTTGGGTTGCATACTTAGTCCCAGTTGGGAGGAGAGCAGGAGGCAACCAATTGATGTTTCTCTCTCACATGGATGTTTCTCTAGCTGCCTTCCTCTCTCTAAAAAGCAATTAAAATGTCCTTGGGTGAGGATTAAAAAAAGAAAGAATACTTTAAATATAAAGATGCAGATAGGTTAAAAGTAAAGGATCGAAAAAGATATACTATGCAAAAATGCGATTGCTAATCAAAGGTAGAGTGGCTACATAAGTATTAGACACAGTAAATTTCAGATTTCAGAACCAGGAATACTACCAGGAATAAAGAAGAATATTTCATAATAATCAAAGGGTCCATCCATCAAGCTTTAATGTCCTAAATGTCTATGTAGCACCTTACAAGGACCTTAAAATACATGAAGTAAAACCTTATAGAACTGAAAAAAGACAACCATTCGTTGAAGATTTAAGCATTCCTCTCTCAGTACAGTATTTGATGGAACAAGTAAATACGGAAGACCTAAAAGACACTATCGAGAAATCTAACCTAACTGTCAATCTTTACAAACACTCCTTCAAACAGCAGAATATTCTTTTTAGGTGCAAAGGATACAATCCACCAAAATAGGCCATGTATGTGGCTATAAAACAAGTCTCAATGAATTTTAAAAGGAAACGGAATTAAACTGCTGTGGAGGCGAAATGCCTAATGTATGTAAAGTGCTTTGAAGGAAGCCTGGAGCCTAACAGGCGGCTCCGCTGGGGAAGCCGCGTGGGGAGGGAGCGGGGGCCTTGGGGCTGTGCAGCCGCGGGGAGGACTGGTTTGGCTGCGGGGCTGGCCCTGATCCCGAGGTTCTGGGTGGGTCTGGGCCTCCGGCCGGGGTCCCGCGAGGACGCCCTACCTGGCTGCCCACCACCTCTTCCAAGTCCGGGTAGACGGGCGGCGGATCACGCAGGCAGCACAGAAAGAAGGTCGTGTCGAAGCGGCGGCCGCCGCGCGGCGAGAAGGGCGTGAGCCAGACGCTCCAGTCGTGCAGCGCCCAGATGTCGGGGGTGCAGTCGAGG